GATATCATTTGAAGGGCAAGTTTACAAAGTTCTAATATTTTTGCTATATCAATGTAGAAAATAAAAAAATATTAACGACAAGCATCAAAACGCATATTTACAAAAACACGAAAAAGGACGAGTGACAAAAAAGGTTTACTGTCTTGAAACAAAAATAAAACTATATCAGACGACCAATTGAAGATGCAACACCTAAAATATGAATACTTTGACATACAACCACTTATGTGCGTCTTTTAGTGTAAATTATTAAACATTATGTGATAAACTTTGTTTTTAAGGTGATGAAATCAGCATTTTTGGAAATCAGCTTATATTAGGATAAGCTGATTTCCAAAAATGCTGATTTCATCAAACAACTCATAATTTTTTTGGTGCCTATCTGCGCAATAGCCATTGTTTATCAGACATTACGGTGCCGTGCCGACAACATCACATAAGTTGTTTACTGTCGTAGCTCCATTCCTGTTCACCTTATCATAGAAACACGTATTGAAATCTTAATATATTTTTTAAATAAATCTTCTCTTCTGGACGTCATTCGAAAACTTACCTACCTATGTGTTGTTTTAATATCGTTATTATTATTAAGGATTTTTAAAATATATCAACGTTAAATGATTTTTTCAAACAATTCGGAAACATAGGTATGAGTTAATAAAACTTTCTAGCTTTCGTCATTATCATCATCACCAGCCTACTAATGGACTTCAGGGGCCAAAAGCTTCCTTATGGTTAGAATCAAATGTAACAAAAATATAGATGTAACACCCGTTTTTTGCAAGAAATGATTGTGTATTGAGTATAATTGAATAGAACAGGGAGAACAGGCCATGACCTACCGCGCGGGCCAGGATGGATTAATGGGTGTTAACGACTCTCGATACTGCAATCGTGACCAACAGCTTAGTTAGTTCACAAACTTACCATAGTGATATTTGACCATAATTATATTTACCGTTTTTTTTCCCGGCTATTTCTTTCCGGGATTTCCTGTCGAAATGACATGAAATGAAAATATCTTTATTCAAGTAGGCTATTACAAGCACTTTTGAATCGCCCAAAAAACTTTTCCCCTACCACTTGTTCAGGACGTCTTTTAGCTGACAAGCAGAACAAGCGAAAGAAACTTATCAGCTTTTTATCATAAGTAATGACATTTACATAAATCATGTCATTACCAAAATAATATGTATTATCAATTTATCACAATAGTAAATACAACTTTCAAAGTCTGTAGGACATAGGTTGAACATCTAATTAGTCTTTATAGAACAAAGCGAAGGCTATTAATTCCATGCATTGCGATCCTTAAAATAATCATCAACTTTATAATAACCTTTACTCATAAGTATATTCTTTACATGAATTTGAAATTTATTTATGGGTAGGTCAATTACATTTTGTGGAACTTTATTGAACATAGCAATACATTTACCCAGAAATGATCCTCTGGTTTTTTGAAGTCTGAAGCTTGGAACGGCAAGTTTATCTTTATTTCTTGTGTTAAGATTATGAACACTACTTTTTTTTGAAGGAATCGTAATGTTTTCTTGTGTACATAATATTCTCATAGATGTATTGAGAGGCAACAGTCAGAATATTTATTCTTTAAAAAATTCTCTGAGAGATTCCCTAGACCGTAAATTATATATAGCACGGACAGCTCTCTTTTGTAAAATAAAAATATCCTGAATGCTAGCCGCAGAACCCCATAACAATATACCATACGTCATTACACTATGAAAATAACTAAAATATACCAATCTTGCCGTTTCAACATTTGTCAAGAGTCTAATTTTCTTAACAGCAAAAGCGGATAAGTATTTAATATACTTTTATTAACTTTTCAACATCATCACGAGTTTAAGTGATGTGTAATCTTCCTCGTTTCTGCTACTCCGTAATTCCTTATTTAACTTTATACGATGTCTGGATCATTTTAAGATACTCATTAGAATATTATAAAAATAAACTTTAATTGAGTTGAAATTCCCTGACACACTTCCAATACTCAAATCACCGTTATTACTTATTTATAAAACATAGTAGGTAGCGAGATACACAAATATAGATGCAAAACAGTTTAAAACTATTTAGTTATAGAAATGCTAATCTTCTGTGTTTTCCTCCTCTCCTTCCCAAGTACAGATCTAAGGTATGTTACAAAGTTGACAGAAGATCTTTTAAGCATCTCACGGAAGTATCAGTGCAATAGTACACAACTGATTATCCATAGAGTGTGCAAGATTCAATATCATTATTTTAATTATTTTATATTATTATATTATTCATGAAATTTAAATAAATAAATCTCATGTCACAATGTATGTCATTGATAAAGTTCGAAACCACTGAACCAATAAAAACTTAAAAGATAGGGTAGTTTTGATGTCTTGGTGATTTTAAAATAATGAATAAAAATGTATACTCACTGAGTCACTAATGGCATATATTTGTCATCAGCGTCGAATTCGACGTCCAGTACAGCACAGCGTCAGAAGCTAGTCCAAACTCAACGGGGTTGTGTTATATTTATTAAAAGATTTCCATAGTCACCTTCTAGTTGGATAATTAGACCCTGGATATAATCAAACGAGTTCAAATTGGATGAAGTTGCTCCGTTTATAAAAAGAGGTCGTGGAAGCTACATTTCGGTTCAATTAACAGATTAGCTTTGTTATATAACAATATTGAATTATCAAAAAAAAGTTAAATTCTTTAGATTTGCGAGGTGTGGATCAACCCCCTTATTCTGTAAATCTGGCATCTTCTGAGGACAATCGAAATAAATTGTTCACCGAACTCTGTGGGTAAACCGCTATCACGCGGTTTTGGTATTTTGTAACTCATTTTAATCATTAAGATGAAATCAGCCATTGAAGTTCACTGTTATGGTTACTTACGCATACGAATACTAAATTCAGTGGAGTTCAGTGGAAATCGCCAATATTGACATATCAAAGTTGCTAACCATCGATAGAAGTTGACACATTGGAATTGCTAGCTTTATTTGTGTGATTACGACTTTAGGTTGTCATTTACATTAGCGAAATCGACTGCATATCCCTGATTTAGGTTATTTTATTTTCATCAATATAATTGTCCATATATTGATTATCCCGATCGTAAACCGGGAAGAAAGTCAATATTATCTGGCAAAATTTGACTCACACTAACACGGCGGCAAGTTAAATAAAAACTTATAAATAATCCTTGATAGATAAAGGTTAATGGTCGATGCTAATCTGACTAAAAATACTTCAAGCGTATCATCAAGCATGCGATAGAATGCAACAGAATTTTTGTCAGGTGTGCAAGGTTGAATGTCATACTTTAGGTAACATACGTCCCGCGTTGCATCTTCCGTCAAATATACGTCGACCCTAAGTTTAAAAACAATAAAATATCCAAGAGATTTTCCAGTTGTGGGCGTGAGCTAAATATAGATTAACTGGTTCTTCCATACACGAGCGGGTCAGTTAAGTACTTATGTTGGAAAAAATGCCCATGGGTTTTAACAGCATTCACGTGACAACAGTCAAATGTGACATTAAACTCATAATTTTTGAGTGGAAAATTCTTATAAGGAAAAACTGTTATACCATCAATCAATATAAAATAAAAATAGATTGTAAAAAAAAAGTTAACAATGATTATTTTAGGGTTCCATATCAGAAGATAAAAGATTCGGTGCATACATTTCACTGACTTTTAATGGAGGCGAATAAGAAAGTCCAAAAAGAGTTTTAAAAACTATTGTGTAACATAACAAAAGAAATTAGTCATTAGTTTAAATCAACATTGTCCATATTAATTTGACGGCAATTAGAGGTTAAAGGCGTCATTATACCTTAATGGACGTTTGTGCAACTGACCGTGAATCTCGAGTATTTTAATTTTTATAATTTCTTACTCTGAAATGAGTAAGTGAAAACAGACATCTACCAAAACTACTGGATCAATGCTGGACCAAAAATGAAAATTACTTCTGTTTACTCTCTCTGTACTTATCTACAGAATGTCTACTACATTGCAGAAAACCCCACGATGATATACTTTTAGCTGTTTTTTTTTATTTTCTTTTTTAAACACCTCTTTAATCAATATTTTTAAAATGTGAAGACAGGATATCTGGAATTTAATTCTGTAATAAATTAATTTTCCTTTTAACATTACAATAACATAATAATTTAATAAAAAAATATGCATTATGCACTTAAAATCTGATATGCATTCATATAAAGTTAAAATGTAATATTCTTGGTTATTTTAATTAAAAAAATTAATACATTTATTAAAAAATACCAGGTGTAAGATTAAAGATAATAAATTAACATAAGGGGTCAAACGGTTTGTAGTCATTTAAAACTACATAATTCGTCTTAATAGCGATACAAAGAAAAACAGGAAAAGTCTACGCATAATTCTTCTACACATGCTATCAATACATTTTTCTTGTTTTAATTTTATTCAAAGGAATTGATATTTGTAAGTAAACTATATGTGTGTTTTAAATTAAGTAGAAAAAGAAAAGAAAAAAAAATCATACTATACAGTTTAGAGTTTATCAAATATGAAAATAAAATAAAAGTTAAAGAGCCTGTCACATTTTGCATTAGCATGAAATTATCGCTCTTAATAGCACTTAACTCTTTTGTGTTACTGTTAAACTTCATACTTGCTTTTTTTGTGTTTTGCTTTGCTTCAATTTGGAAATTTGAACACGCGTTTTATTACGCTAACGCCCACATTGGTACGTGCAAAAGGGAACACGTTCCAAAAGCAGTTTAGTATATCGTAGTGACGTATAAAGGACAAGACCGCTTTTAAGGAAAAAATCTGTTGACATTATAAGTATATTACTCATAACACCGCTAACCAGTCAAACTTTACAACGCTAGCTGCAACATCGTAGACACGAAAGTCGTAATCTAAGTTGTGTGTTTGTTTACTAGAGAAAAATAATAGTGTCCAAGTGATTTCACTCAAATACCACTATGGCAGCTATTGTAACGGTAAGTAAAGCATATATTGTTTCTATATTATCAGTGTGCAGTTTATTTTTTATAGCATGATTTCAAACATAATATTTTACAAAAAAAAGTGTTATTAAGAAATAATAATTAATATTTATATTTAAACCATTTCCAATGAATAATAATAGTTTTAAATAAGACTTAATAATATTTTAACGTTATTTCTAGATTATACAATATATTTATGTTAATAAACGTACGTAGGTATTTTATGTGATGAAAAAAAGAGCAGATAATATAATTATGAGCGTATGAAAAATTACAGATTGTATTAAAAAAAAACTTTTTTTTTCAGTTTCTACTGTTTGCAATAATATTTCACAGAAGCATAAGTCATCCTATAGGACAGGAAGAACAATCACGACGTAAATTTCAAAAGAACTATTTTAATGTCCTCAAAGATGTTGTATACTTCCCTGATTCATCATATATATTTCCAGAAAAGTAAGTTCTTTCCTTTATAGTATTGTTCATATAGCATTAATCATTATTAACAATCATAGTTATTAATTAACTTTAATTTTCAAATGAAAATTAAATAAGACGTTATATCATCGAGATTTAAATAAATTATTATGTTGTCAATTTCCAATACAGCGGCATCCCGCACACACCATTAATTATAAATTCATTGTTCAATACGGTTTAATAGATAGCCAAGAGAGATTCTTTAGTTTTCTCTACTTGTTTTATTTTTTCATATGAGTTACATTAGTAAAACTATATTTATATTCAATACTTCTTTAAATTAAAACCATTCCATTAAAGGCTAAAGATTTGCAACTGTTTATTCTAGGTCTTCATATTTTGCAACAACAACTGAAAAACCTGCAACTAGCTACAAAACAGATTGCGCGACATTAAATGCTCCAGAGTGTGATGAATACAAAAGACGTCTTAATAATGGATTTAGTAATGATGATCTTAATACTCGCATCAAAGCTAACAATAATGACGATATATATCATAATACGAATAAGGACCTGTATAGCAATTGGACTTATGAAGATCAACGAAAGAATCTGAGCGAAAATGTCATTATATCAGATATTGACAATAATGAAGATTATGAAACGGTAAATATTTTTTCTAAATAATTCAGTAATTTGTATAATTAATTTAACAGCATTTACAAACCCCATGAGAATTGCTAACCATTAGGCACCACGAATATTAGAGCGTAACTCTAAAAATTGGTAATTTTACTATACTAACTAAATGTGTTCTTAAATGTATAATATTATGAATTTATCAAATATATTCATTATTTTTAAATGCCAATAAAATATTAGTGTTCCAAAGACACGCCACATTATATGTTAGAAGTTAAAAGTAATGAATCTGAAAACCACGTTATATAATAATAGTCCGAATGTTGTCATTAAGTTAACTAAAAATAAATGTTCTTAATGAAAAATGTTTAAAAATCCCAGGATTGCAAAAGGTCCGTGGAGTCCAATACCATTTCAGAGTACCAGAGACAAAGCGGATTTTTTAACACATTTCATAAAGAAATTTCTTCAATATAGCTTGTTAATGCAAAATTGATCAAGTATGATAATTAAAACTAAATGGTAATGTTTTCGATTTTCAGACCACAGAAGACCTCTTCAGATTACCACCACCTCTTGTGGCGTCACTTCTTGGTTAAATACCTCGAAAATAAAACTAAAATTGTAATGTATGGGTCCAGATCTCTTAATCGTAGCTTTTTCAGGAGAAAAATCACAATAAATTTCGATACTATGAGTTCTTTGGCAGAAATTTTAACACGATGCCATGATCTTTATATCTCATCAAAAATGTTTCTGCCTTTCTCATTGTATTCTACGCATAAAAACTTATACAAAATATGTCTGTCTCCGAAGTGTTGGGATTAATTAAAGATGCCTTTCGGCGAACTTTTTATAACAGAGGCTTTGTTTGAGGTAGTACAGTATTCTCTTACTGTTAATAGGTACTCTTGAAATTAGATTAGTTACTTAGAATATAATTTTTTAATATGTATGCTTTAGACATAATAAGATGTAAATTTTATTATTTTTAAGTTTTGAATATTATATTTTATTGAACATTAACCCAATGGAATGCAATGAGAAACTATGTATTTTGGATAAAACTTTGTAAAAAGATATCTTGCACTTCAATTAATATCGTTTCCTGTAATACACCTTACTATTTGTATAGACAGTAGCATATCTGCCTCCTTATTCTGTATCTCTGAGGGCAACCGAAATACATAAATTGTTCTCAGAGCTCTGTGGGCAACCGGCCATACGAATAAGTGACTTTTTACACATTGGGATTGTTCACATTTTACTTTGATTACAACTTTGAAAAAATGACAGCCATTTGAATTAGCAATTAGACCTGCAGGTCTCAACAGCACTACCAAAAAGTATCTTCAAATCAGGGATTCGCAAACTATTCGATTTCGGGTTGATATCGATTGCCCAGGACATGTGGTCTCGAAAGAGTTTGCGAATGCAATCTTCCCGAATTCGGTCGCTAACTCAATGTGATGGTGATTTAACAATTATTGCAAGTCTCTTCAGTTAAATATAATATTATTTATTAGGTATGTACCAAGTGCAACCTGTCAAATTAGCTACATTCGTTAATTTTTTAACGCTAGCTCGTTCAGTGATCTTTCCGATCACTATCAATGTCAAGGCTTGTCGTGATATTAGATGTGGTAAAAAAACGACCACTTTTACTTTTATATTGATTTTGTTTTTGAGAAAATTAATTAGCTTAAAATACTTAATCAACCCCAAATTTATTTCAGTCGACTTTAAACATTATTTATAGCCAATGTATTGTTACACAGTAAAAACATGTGAATTCTCTATATTTAAAAGTAATTGTACATGAAAGTATAGAATTCCATTTCACATCATATCACGATGTTGTACCATCGTGTAATTTGTTTCAATTAATCAGTATTTTAAAAACGTAGAGATTAAATTTTTATTATAATTGGCCTTGACGGTCTGAAAAGATTGAATAAATTTAGCTTACCTTTGTAATATTAGTAGTAAAAAGAGTCTGTACTTAGACGTCACTTGATTTTGAAAATTAATTACAGTAAAATTGCTCAACGAAGTATAGAATTCGGTTTCACATTGATTCACGATGTATCATGTATGTAGTTTATCTCTGTATGTTAGAAGATGGTTTATTATCCCACCTTTTTTATAAAAGTTTGTTTATATTTTGAATATTATTTATTATTGACGTTTTGCATTACTGTCAAAATCATTTTTTGTTTCACAGACTAAGAAGTAGATATAAGTCGCGTGCTTTGTTGTATATTTTAAATATTAATTTGCGTTATCCTCATTTTACTGTGTTTTCCAAATAAATCATATTATTTTAATACAGTCTTTCTTTCATTAGCTCACCCATAGTTATAACTCTATACATAGTCTTGCCATAAATATTGTTACATAGGAAATCAAGAGTTACAGAGTTCTAAAAATGACCATAAATCATTATCCAGCGAATTAACATCTGGACTAGAAGACAGTCAGTCTTTGGCTCTGATGAAGTCCGGAATTTTTATTGGAACCAAGATTGGATGGATCGAGCTTTATGACCTGATGTCGAGTCAAGTTGAAAGGAAAAAGTATCTTGATACACTAGTGCCGATGTTTTGTTGCCGATGTTGTGTGATGAAATTGGAAAAGACTTGGGCCACTTATTACATAACCAGTTGGGAGATTACATTATTAATTATTGTATGCTCGGTATTGAATTGCATCAACTAATGCAAAAAATGCTTACTTTAAATATTGACGAGGGTACAAACTTAGTAATTTTAATTGGAAACAGAGGTAATGTAAATAAAATAGAATTATGTAACTACTTCAATACCTTAAGCTTCTTGAATTTAAATAAAATTATTATGTTTACATTACCTTATAGTAACAGTTTGCCACAGAAGGAAAATAATATTAGATATAAGTTTAATATGACATTAAATACTATAGCTAATTATAATAAAAAATACATGTAATTGACATAAACAAATTAATCTTTAATTTATATTTGACAAGAGATAAATATTATCTTTCTTTCTATGTTAAGAGACAAATAGCATCCTCGCTAGTATTTTATTTTAAAAATTTATCTCTACTGCTTTTATTGAGCAGAATGATTTTGACTTAAACAAACAGACTTTGGAATATGTTCCAAAACTAAATTTTGACAATTTAAAAAATTTAAATTGTTTAATAAGACAATAGAGAAAATCTCTAGCAATGAGATGACCAAGGAAAAGTCTACCTACTTAACTATTGTTCACCAAAATATACAAGGCTTTTCTGGAAAAGATCTAGAATTAGAAATGTGTTTAAATAGTATGAATATTGATATGATATGTATTACAGAGCACTGGCTCAAAAATTATGAATTAATTACGGGTTTTAAAAATTATAAAATTATAAGTTCATTCTGCAGGATAAATGCCATACGAGGGGGTTCTTTAATAATAATAAGTAATTATTTAAAATGTAAAGAACGTAAAGATATAGTATCCCTCTCAATTGAGCGACATATTGAATTGTCATGTGTGGAACTTGAACAGTATGTTATTATATGTGTATATAGACCACCTGATGGGGACTACTGTCAATTTGAATCTGCTATGGAGGATGCATTTAAATTAATTTGCAAAGTCGATAAGAAAGTAGTGATATGTGGTGATTTTAATATAGATATTTTAATAAAATGTGCTAAATCAAGTAGATTTTTGAACTTGTTTAAATGTTTTAATTTAGAAAATATTTTTAATGAACCTACCCGCATTACACCCACATCCGCTACTTGCTTAGATAATATTTTTTGTAAATGTAAGGTATTCAAAAAATCGATAATAAATTGTATTCAATCTGACCATAGCGGAGTTCTAGCAACTTTCGAGCACCATCATGTTTCTCCTAAATGCAATATAATTTGTAGACCTATTACCAAAAGTAATTTAGAAAAATTTAAAAACGGTGTTTCTGCAAATCAGACTCAGTTGACAACTAGTAATTTGGAAAATATAAATGATGTTTATAATAATTTCTTTAACTTGATAAAGGGAGAATTTGATAAAACATTTAAACTCAAAACAATTAACTTTACTAACCAAAAAAAGAAATTTAGTGAATGGGCTACACCGGGCATCTACAAAAGTCGAAATAGGCTGTATGATTTGTATGAGCTAAAGTGTACCTCGACCGATCCAAAGTTTATTGAATATGTCAGAAATTATTCGAAAATTTTTAGGAAAGTATGTGTTTCAGCAAAAGCAAAATATATATCTGAAAAAATTTACAATTCAGAAAATAAAATAAAAACACCTGGACTATCATAAATCAAGAAACGGGTAAAAATAAAAGTAATATGCGCACATACTTATTAGAGGTTGACAATAAAATTATTAAAACAGATGAAGCGGTTGCCGAGACATTTGAGAAATTATTTTCTAAGACACCAATAGAAATCACTGGAAATCTTAGTTCATGTTCTAAACTTGCGATTACGCATCTAGAGTCAGTTGTTGATAAGTGCAATACTGAATTTAATTTTAGACACGTTAACGTCTGCTCAATTATTAAAACACTTAATTCTATTAATGTCAAAAAAACCGAAGATCTTTGGGGCGTTTCAACTTATGTTATCAAATCTATAATCCCAGCTATAGCGCCTCAATTAACTTTTATTTTTAATAAGTGCATTGATGAAGGAACTTTTCCTGATTTAATGAAATATGGTAAAATAATCCCACTTTTCAAGGCAGGCGACAAGTCTGATCCCAGTAATTTCAGACCAATTTCTATACTACCAGCGTTAAGTAAAGTATTTGAGAAAATGATTTACAATCAACTGCTTGCACACTTTTCATTAAATAAATTACTTCACCAAAATCAGTTTGGCTTTAGCAGAGGTAAATGTACAACAGACGCTGGAATTGCACTTCTGAGGCATATCTATGATGCTTGGGAGAATAAACAAGATGCTATTGGCATTTTTTGTGATCTATCAAAAGCATTCGACTGCGTTAGTCATGAAACACTGTTGGGGAAATTAGAACATTATGGTGTGACGAAAAATTCACTTCATCTAATAAGATCATATCTTTCTGCTAGAATTCAAAAGGTAGTAATCAATGAAGCGAAATCTGCAGGGGCACCAGTTACTATGGGCGTACCTCAGGGATCGATATTAGGACCATTGCTTTTTCTAATTTATATAAATGATCTTCCTCACTTTACGAAGAATTTGTGCGAGACAGTATTATTTGCAGATGACACCTCTTTACTGTTTAAAGTTGAGAGGGGTAATGATTGTTTTGACGATGTAAATAATGCTCTCGACAATGTTCTACAGTGGTTTGATAATAATAATTTAAAGCTCAATTCAAATAAAACGAAATGCATAAAGTTTGCATTACCTAATGTGAGGCATGTCAGTACACTTATAAATGTAAATAGTGAAAAAGTTGAGTTAGTAGAATCGACAAAGTTCCTTGGTATTACACTAGATTCCCGACTGCAATGGGATCCTCATATTGATAGCTTGTCAAGTAGACTGAGTTCTGCAGCTTTTGCTGTTAAGAAAATTAGACTCTTGACAAATGTTGAAACGGCAAGATTGGTATATTTTAGTTATTTTCATAGTGTAATGACGTATGGTATATTGTTATGGGGTTCTGCGGCTAGCATTCAGGATGTTTTTATTTTACAAAAGAGAGCTGTCCGTGCTATATATAATTTACGGTCTAGGGAATCTCTCAGAGAACTATTTAAAGAAATAAATATTCTGACTGTTGCCTCTCAATACATCTATGAGAATATTATGTACACAAGAAAACATTACGATTCCTTCACAAAAAAAAGTAGTGTTCATAATCTTAACACAAGAAATAAAGATAAACTTGCCGTTCCAAGCTTCAGACTTCAAAAAACCAGAGGATCATTTCTGGGTAAATGTATTGCTATGTTCAATAAAGTTCCACAAAATGTAATTGACCTACCCATAAATAAATTTCAAATTCATGTAAAGAATATACTTATGAGTAAAGGCTATTATAAAGTTGATGATTATTTTAA